AACGAGACCAGAGGATGAAGAGATGGAGCCGAACATACTTAAGGATGAAATTAGAGCTGAAATAAAACACCTCAAAAATCGAAAGGCGGTCGGCAAGGACTTAATCCCGATTGAAACGATTAAATCGTTAGGAGAATATGGTGTCCAGATCTTCCACCTGATCTGTAATAAAATATGGCAAACAGGATCATGGCCTCAAGAATGGGCACACACTATCTTTGTTCCGCTGCACAAGAAGGGCTCCACTAAGGTGTGCAGTAATTATCGTCTTATTGCACTTATACCCCACGCAAGCAAAATCCTACTGCATATCTTAAATGAGCGACTCAAAGCCTACTTAAACAAAGAAATAGCACCTGAACAGGCTGGCTTTGTAAAAGGGAAAGGTACCAGGGAGCAAATTCTTATCGTTCGCCAAATAATAGAGAAGTCCCGTGAATTCAATAAACCTACCTATATATGCTTTGTTGATTTCGCGAAAGCTTTTGATTCTGTGAAGTGGCCTATTCTGTGGAATTCTCTACTAGAAATGGGTACCCCTAAACACCTTGTTCATCTACTTAGAAGGCTCTATGAAGATGGAACGGCATCGGTAAGAGCAGACGATGCGTATTCTAGCCACTTTCACCCTAGTGCCGGAGTTCGTCAAGGTTGCATAATATCGCCACTTTTATTTAACATATATACGGAGACTATTATGCGGATCACCCTTGAAGATTGGACGGATGGGATTTCGATTGGCGGTATGAAGGTGTCTAATCTACGCTATGCGGACGATACCACCTTGTTCGCAACTAGTGAGAGCCATATGGAAGACCTGTTGCAGAGACTAGAGAACGTTGGTCTCCAATTTGGGCTAAAAATAAATCGCAACAAGACAAAAATCATGATTGTCGACCGGGTCAATGACAACTCTCCCGAAGTAACCCAAATTGCAAACTGCGAAGTAGTGCAATCGTACATTTACCTAGGCGCGCTTATCTCTAACAACGGCGGTTGCACAGATGAAATAAAACGACGTATGGCAATCACTAGGTCTGCTATGGATAGGATGAAGAGAATATGGAGGAATCGAAACGTCACTAGAACCACCAAAAGCCGCCTTGTGCGTACTCTAATATTCCCCATATTCTTGTATGCCGCAGAGACGTGGACTGTGCGAGAGTGCGAGCGACGTAAGATTGACGCTTTAGAAATGTGGTGCTGGAGACGAATGTTGCGAGTTCCCTGGACTTCGTTTCGCACGAACTATTCAATCTTACGTGAGATAGGCGTAAAGCAGCGTCTATCCTCCATAGTTCAAGCCCGTATTCTGACGTATTTCGGCCATATATCGCGGCGTGGAGTGGCCTCAATAGAGAGGCTTGTAGTGCAGGGCAAAGTCGAGGGTACAAGACCGCGTGGCAGGTCACCCATGCGCTGGACAGACCAAGTCAGGACTGCAGTGGACGCTCCTGTCAATGAGTGCTCAAGAAAAACCACCATCAGAGACGAGTGGCGACGCGTTGTGAAGCGTGCCACCACACATCATGATGACCACGACCGTTCTGCCAAGAACGTACCGACTTAGGAGGAGGGATCTTTTTTACCCAATATAACGAAGTACAAAACATAAGTGTGATAGCTTCTTAAGATTAGTGCCACGAAGTGCTATTACAAAAAAGTCCTAAGCTTTTACAAATATTATAAATTCAGGTTAAAGTTAGTTAGTCTTCACATGTATGATCGTTAAAATTTATATCCTTTTAGATTTAAGAAAAACTATATTATTATAGGATTATTTAAACATTTCTCCGTTCGTCGGTCTGTTCGGACCAGCTTATTTAGAAGTTAAATTTCGGAAAACCTATGGAACGGTATCGACTTGGAATTTTAACTTCAAATTCCAAGTCTACAACACTTTAATGTTGTTAAAATTTTATTTCAAAATATGATTCAATACTTTCACGTGAATTAAATATTAAAAAAAGGAAACTATATATTTACTAAGCTAAGTGTTGTAATTTCGGAGGGCAAGTCCGACTTGCATGTCTTTTTCAAGATTTTTTTAAACAGCATAGGTTGGTAGAAAACCTGAATACATAATACATAAATACTATTCAAATAAACGTTACTTTGAATTTTCATTAAAAATAAAGACCTTGCCGTTATTATAATAAACGATGGAATACATAAAAAGAAAAATTAACACAAGAATTTAGTCGAATTATGGATTCCCTTAATACAATGAAATTACATCACATATTTTGTTCTATGGATTTGTGCTAAATTCCAACATCAAAACCCATTTTCTACATTTATGCGAAAGTAAATAATATACGAAAATCATAAATTTGCTGTCAAACATGCCACGAGATAAAAGAAAAATGTGTTGTTCCGTATCCCTTTTAATCCCAGACTACTAAAGAACATTAGGGCAAGTATATGATTTTAAACTTAGGTAACAGGGTTCTTATTACTATAGTAAAATAAATCTGCCATGTTCAGCGTTAAATGAGCTAACCAAGAAATAAAATTGAATATTTAATTATCCACGAACGCCGTTATTTGACTCGCTGTAAAAATCATTACGTTAAAGAATACATATGTACATACATATGTCTTATATGTATTTACGTATATTAAAAGTAATTGTTTATATAACGCTAAATTTAAAATATAGTTCATTAAGCCTGATTTGTTATAGTGTTTTGAATTTTTTGGTTTAGTATATTTATTTACAGTTTCTTATTGATTATATTTTCATCTGGTTTATATATCATATAAATTTATATTTCGTTAATCTTATATAAAAAAAATATGTTTGCAGTTCTCTGCTACATATTTAAAAATTGTCTAATTGAAGATTCGAAACATTCGTGTGATATTTTTTCACTAGTTTGTGTTTATTTTACAAACTTAAATCTCTCTAAAACCTTATTATGTATTATATTGGGTGTGTATTTGTGTGGTCCTGATAATAATGAATGTCTTGACCGCGGGAATCTTTTTTTAATAATTACTCATCTTGTACATGTTAGGTACATAACGTGATATCCTAGAGATTAAATAGCAAGTTCCAGACACAGCTTATAATATTTGCGCGCGCAATCAATCAATAAATCTGCATTGGCGGGGGATGCAGTTCTCTAGCTTGTGATTATATATATATAACTAGCTGACCCGGCAAACGTTGTTCTGCCATATAAAAAATAGGTGTTGGTGATAAAAAAATTTGGGTTGTTTGTATTTTTAATGCTACATTATAAAATTACAGAAAATTCATACAAAATTATGAGTCTGTCAGAGCTATAGCTCGGAAATTTAAAATTTTAATTGTTAACGTCCACCCCCGCAATCCATATTAGGAGTAGATTGTCATAAAATCCGCTCTTAGATCATTTCTACATCACATAGGAGATTCCTACCAAATTTGAAATCGATGGGAGCTATAGGTTAAAAATGGGAATTTTCCATCGTTAACGCCCCCGCAACCCTCTTTGTGGGTGGAATTTCGTAAAATCCGTTCTTAGCTGACCTCTACTCGGCGAAAGGAATAATCCTACCAAATATCAAGTCGCTACGCCTTATGGTACCAGATATATCGTGATGAGTCAATATATAGGTGGAAATCTCTTATATACAGGGTGACTGGTGAATTACTATCGATATTTGAGGACGTGATAGTTGACGATCATATATGACAAAATAAAAATTAATATAACATAAATATTAATAAACTTCTAAGTAAAGTTAACCAAAAGTTATGTAATTAATTACGCATCGTGTGAACACCCTACAGATTAGGTATACAAACACACTCACACACACGCGGCTGGGGCGTGGTTTTGTATCAGCACGCCGCCGCACGCGTCCACACTAGGAACACTTGGAACGTGTCAACACTTTATTTATTTATACGGAAATTTGGTCAAAAATTAAGTACCTATTTTTTTTACATAATTCGAATGAGAATCATGTACCGAGTATGCTCCTTAAATATTGATAGTAATTCACCAGTCACCCTGTATATATATATAGGTGATACAAAATTGCCTATATCTATTTGATATTATGATTCATCTCATCATTATTTTGACGGAACAGAATCATTATATTGTGACCTAAATGTTTTTTTTTAAATTAAATATGTAATATAAAATCTGGGATAAATATATAATTCTTATATGGTACACCTTTCAAATTTCCTAAATAATACATCTTCAATTAAACCTGGCAGTGTACTAAATAATTTGACGAATATAAATGCAGTAGCAGAATATAAAAACGTGAAAAGTATGTCATATGTCAACAGGTGTCGCAAAATTAACTGCTTAAGCGAATTCAAGTGGTGATCATCTCCAGCAATAAAAAGAATATACATATTTTTTAAGCAATATTTCAAAAAGCCATGGTTCTTTTTTGCAAGTCTGCCATTTTATAATTGTTTATTTAAACAAATCTGTACTGTTTTGTAATATATGTAAAAATGGCTAATTTAACAGTAAAACCCATTTTCATGTCCCAAATGAAGAAAAATGGCTGAAATTAACATATTTCGAGTATACATACTATTATTATTGCGCAATAAATTATGCAGTAGAATATTCTAGACCTCGTATATATATATACACAATATATAGGTTAAAGTGGAATCTGGGCCCTGGAAAATCTAGGATGCAATCAATAAATGTATTTCCTTTGTCTGCTGGCCTGCGCGCGTTTACATTAAACCTGCCAAAAGCTTATTGCACACGCGTAGATTTATTGATTTTATATCTAGACCTACCTTGTTAACCGATCTCACGAGCCATTCGGGCGGAGTTCCTTAAGAGAGGCACATGTGCCAAGTAATATTTCTAAACGGTATGAGCCCTGGATAATATATTAAGGGCTCATACCGTTTAGAATGTTTGAAGCCGGGGAAGTTATATCTAGAAGAACAGACAGACTCGTAGGTTACAGTGTTCTTTGAAAGGGCTGTGTCTAATCGCCTGTGTAAATGACAAAATATTTTCTAGGAGGGAGTCTTTTGGACGTAATCAAACACAAGATGCGGGTATCGAACTGTAAGCACGGCGTATTTGATGAAGCAACGATCGCCACTGTCCTCAAAGAAGTGCTTAAAGGGTTGGAGTACTTTCACAGCAACGGACAAATTCATAGGTAGTAATTAATTTATATTTTATATATTGCGATTTCATTTTAATTTCATTATAATCTTGCTGGCTTTAAATTTTGCGACTTTTATGTTATGTTTTTCACTGTTTGGATGTTTTAATTTTATACAATATAAAATAAGATATATATTACATATTTGCGAATTGTTATTAAACTATTTTACTTTGCTATAAGAAAAATTAAGCTTGCGCAATAAAACAAAGACAGCATAAACTAATTATAGCAAAAGCACAAAATATTTGCGATATAATATACCTATTTACATAGTTCTTTATAAAGTTATGCGAAATAAAACAATACCTGTAGATGAAGATTCAAAAAGCGAATATTTCATAAAAACAAAAAACATAGCAACATATAATTGGCATTGTTTATGCGAAGTTGAATATCGGAATAGTAAAAATAATAAAGATTCGCTAAGGAGAGGAGTGACCGTCCTGGGAATTTCAGGGATATAAAGGCGGGTAACATACTGCTGGGAGAGGATGGAATTGTTCAGATTGCTGACTTCGGGGTGTCAGCGTGGCTGGCGACCGGCAGGGACTTGTCTCGGCAGAAAGTCAGGCACACCTTCGTTGGTACTCCCTGCTGGATGGCACCCGAAGTCATGGAACAGGTATAAAATAAATCTTCTTAAGATAATATATACACACATAGGTACATTTCCATATATGGTCAAATACATTATAAGCAAATTATTAGCACTTGGACACCTCCTCGGCTCCTACCTGCCATCTACAGGGTTTGGGCATTAACAAACTCTGCTTCACCCACAATATTACATGAAACCTAATCGTAACACTTGCCCTTAATCCTCACCATCCCCTCTCATGAAATCTCAACCTGTACAAAGCTCTAAGCGTATACGTACCGTATCGTAGCCATACCATATCTTACACTTTCACACTAACACCTAAACTTATATTTGCTCATAAACTCATACCCACAACGACAACTGAACCCACACCCATATCAATACTAACACCCACACCCACCCCTACACCTGTAGATACTCCCACACCCGCACCCGCACCCACATCATTACCAACGCCTACACCAGTATCTACACCTACACTCACACCCTTACCCATTCACACACACTCATATCCAGTCGTAAACTTCGTCACAATTACACTTAGTTACACATACACTTATACTTCGACTTAGTCACACTTATGCTTAGTTACACTTACACTTAGTTTCATTTAGACATGTTACACTTATACTTAGTTACACTCACACTTAGTTATACTTACAGTTAGTTACACTTAGATTTAGTTACACCTACACAAAAAAATATGTATGTTTAACCGTACAAGTCACTGTATCCCTACCCTTGGACCAAATCTACCTTTCCCTTATTCTACGCCTACCGTTATGGCTATTACTCTCGTTTCAAGTGTTAATGTGCCTCGTCCTAACTCCTTTATTGATATTCCCTACTTTATTCACATTTCACCCCTTAGCCTTTATCTTAATTCTCCTACTTCTACATCTCCTCCTCCTTTCAGTACCTATAGTCTATACCCCTACTAATACGAAATACTCCATACTACTAACTAAATCTAACCTAACCCTGTCCTTATTCTGCCTAAGGCTGTCCCTATCCCTACCCCACTCCTAAAGTAACCAAATCTCGTATTATTATTCCATACATATTCCTATACCCAAAGTCACAAGTACTAGAACTAAAACGTATTATCGATATGCCGCAGGTATGCGTATCCAATATTAATTAAGAAAAAAATTCTTTAAGGACCACGGCTACGACTTCAAAGCGGACATTTGGTCTTTTGGTATAACAGCTATTGAGATGGCAACCGGCACAGCGCCTTATCATAAATATCCACCGATGAAGGTCCTTATGCTTACTCTGCAAAACGATCCACCAAATTTAGATACCGGTAGGTTCCAATGAAATATTCATTACCAATTGCTTACAGTAATCACAAACTATATATTTATATATAATTCTAAGTTTACTTTTACTTATCTATGTATTATCGTTTAAATGACATTAAATGTTTATTGTGGTTGTACGTTTGTTAACATTTTACATATTCACGTTACAGGTGCGGATGAAAAGGAACAATACAAAGTATACGGGAAAACCTTTAGGAAAATGATAATTGATTGTTTGCAGAAAGATCCATCGAAGAGACCAACAGCGACAGAGCTACTTAAACATCAGTTTTTCAAAAAAGCTAAAGACAAAAAGTACCTAACGCAGACTCTTGTCGCTATTGGACCAAGTATGGAGACGAGGGTTCATAAAGTCCGTCAATATTTTTTGAATACTTGAATAATATTTATAAATATTTTATATGTACCATTTATATTAATTTTAATTCCTATTTGTACCGTACCAACAGGCAAGTAAGCGGCAGCCGGGTGCTTCGGGTCGTCTTCATCGCACTGTAACTGGTGAATGGGTGTGGAGTGAGGAGGAAGACGAGGCTGGCAGGGAGTCGGACGAGGAGCCGGACAAACGACCCATGAACCAGTTACAGAGGGCGGACTCGAGTAGCGATAACGATGAGGTAACTTTACACAAACAAAAGAAACACACACATATATGATAATACAACATTCACATACACGCGACTATGTATGTAGTCACTACACTACTCATGCTCTATCTCGATATCTCTATCACACACACGCAGAAACAAACACATCTTTCGACTTCAATAAAACTTACATTATTAGTGCTGAAATATATTATGAGATTGTGGTAACTACAAGCAATTTAAATAATGTTACACTTTATATATTGTGTATTATGCTAAAGCGTTTACATTAAATTGTACTTTATTTATTTTTTACAGGAAGCAGGAGTGAGTAAACAAACAAACCAACTGTCTCACGTAACATCCGAGTCAGTTGTTGTCAATTTAGTACTGAGGCTTAGGTTAGTAAAATGATGCTTGATAATATTCGACATAAAAATAAGTATTTTTTTAAATTAATAAAAATTATAGGAATTCTCGTCGGGAATTGAACGATATACGCTTTGAATTCATCACGGGGAAAGATACTTCAGAAGGCATAGCTGGCGAGCTGGTCGGAGCCGGTTTAGTGGATCCATTGGATTCTGTTCCGATATCCACTAACCTGGCCAAACTGCTGGCACAGCGGAACACTCCGACGCCGGTCAACACTGTCACATTCCACCTTGTAAGTATATATCTTAAAACCGCTTTTGTTACACATTATTATTATTTATTAAATTTAAATGGCTATTTAGTTAACAACATTTTTACTATTACAGAATTCGACTCCAGCTAACGAACAGTTTGACGACAAAACTTTGGTCGGATTCGCGCAGATTTCCATAGTCGACATCGCTTAATTGACGTGTACTAACTCCCTAGCCAACCAAAGATATATTTGTTAACAAAAATTTTTACGTTAATGATTTGATTTATTTCTGGATACATTTTCTATTGCCGTCTTAAATATTTTACTTTTTCATAGCTAGTTTTTAATTTGGAATTGAAAATTTTGTTATAAAAATGTATTCTTGTGAGGAATGTTGTAACCGTCTCTTTCCCTCTTGACACATGATCAAAAGGTTTGACAGAGATGCTACACGTCCCGTCATTACAAATACGCCCATGCAATTGTTTTGCGAATTATTTATGTTACTGCGTATTTGTACTTAAGTTATTAGTCAGTGGGTGTAAGGAAATCTGTTTTTACAACAGATAGGGGACGTTTTTACGCGTGAAAACTGACTAATGGCTGAAGCTAAATCGTCAAGAGACGTTGATAGTCTTGTTTTGGTGCTTAAAATTTATCTATATATTATTTTTATAAAAACTAAATTTAATCATTGTAATCTGATAGTATAAGAGATATTCGCGTCTAGTCCTTGTTTAAGTATATGTCAATTAAAGCGGCCGTATGGCCTTGGGCATCCGTAAGATATAATATCATTGTATAAGGTTAGCGGACAGTGGGTATTGATTACTTGGCACAGTGTATAACATCTTCTCTGTAACACAGTTTGGCACACAATAATCAAAATATTTATCACTGAGGTTGACCACGACGAGGATGTCAACTCCTCTGATACTAAATTCCGCTGTATATGGTCAATGGCAGTCTCTTTAACATCAAACTTACTGTTCTCTGGAACGGATGACTCTTTCTCTTAATCTTCATCTCACAATATGACTTCCATCTAAATTTCCTTTACATTTGACTTTTCCTAATAATTTGAATCCTATTGTACGATATTTTGTCTGTTTACGACTTATCCCTACTTATATTTATTTAGAAATTGATTTGATACGATATTGGTGTTTGTGGGGAGGGCTTTTTCTGCTTATATTAGGCATTTTTTTACGTATTGAGTTAAATCTACTTTTTACTATTAACCTTTTTTATAATTAAATGGTTACTAGGTTTATCGAATATTTAAATAAAACTATATTTTACATTTAACTGTCACATGTTGGAAGCAATTTTTATTTGAACTTGGCGTTTCTATTTTACTCACACATAAACACAATACCATCTAGTGAACACCAATACTTAGAGACAAGGTAACGTTGGTTTTATATAAGAATGCACTACAGGCTAATAAAATATACGGCAGTTAAAATTGTAAAATATTATTTTATTTAAATTAATGGATTCTTTTGCGTCGATCGAGGGTTAGTTTTATTTATTAAGCTCTGTCCTATTCTGTCATATTAAATGTTTTTTTATTCGTCTTAAGATTGATTTACGACTGTGACACGTGATGTTTGGGGACGCAGATGGCTTAGAATGTCGACGGTCCTTTAAATTTATCTGCAAACATTCATTAGACCCCTTTTAGGTTTAGGGCTATATTTTTGTACGAGGGTGTCTGTGACTTGTTTCGTAGATGGATGTAAAGTTCCTAGCTAAACATGGAAAAGATGAATGTTTCGTGAAAAGACTCGGAACAATTTTTATTTTAACCTATTCATGATTTGATGTCTGAATCCGATTTTTTTTTAATGTAATAAGCATTAATATAAGTGCCTATATATAAGTGGCTGTTTAATAAATACGTATTGCCACGAACTAGTTGTGACATCATGATTTTTGTGAATTAGTTTTATAACATTATTGTTAATATGCATTTGTGACGGTTTGGTGAAGTGTTGTGGGACGCTCATAGCGAGGGTATGTTATCATCTGCGGATATCGGACTAATCGGATGATGTGCGTTTTGTGTTGCAAATGTAAATATTACTGGTATATGTTAAACTATAACACATGTATACACAAAAATTATAATGTCACGGCCTTTAGTTATTGTCCTCTTTAAAACGAGGTGGTATTCGTGAACGTATTGTTCCGTTCGACAGTAATATGTAGTCGATGGTCCAGTTTTTTGGGGCTGTCAATTACTGATGTAAATTTTAGAATTTAAGATGTTTTATTTCATTAATTTTTATATCCTTCACCATATATATACCCACGTACTTGCGTCCCCCCGTGTGCATTAAAGAGTTGGCAACATCTTTACCGTGTAAGCTTCGAGCTGATACTAACACAACTGTCTTAAAACGTCCGCCATAAGCCTCTTTTATTTTCCAGGACGTTTAAAGCGGGCGCATTATATGGTGTGCTGTTGTAGGTGATCGTACATTGAGCTTGTCTACTTACAATGGCCCTTTGTCTACTGGTAGGCCGGGATTCAAGTGCGGACGAGTGCTAACGCGCTCGATTACTGTAAAATAGAACAAAATTAAAACGTTTACGAATATTTACAATAGCTATGTTAGTGGTCACCTCATCTTAGTATATAAGCCACGTCATTTATTTTACTGACACTTGTATGTTTTTTAGTATTTTTTTATTTGGTCACTATTCTGTTTGAAATTATATTCATTTGTATGTTTCGATGTCGTTCGCGAGTCGGGTATGGTAACGTTTTTCATGTGTTGACTTCAACTTTTTAACCATACACATTTCAGAAGATCCAGTATTAAAGAGTTTCATTTTAAATACAAAATAATGCTTGCTTTTTATTATTTGAGTGCCGTTTCTTTCGAATAATTAATTGTTTATGCGACTTGATATTAATTTAAGTAAATTTCTTAAAGGGTTTGATGTTTGATTGACGAACACTGTATCGAATTTATATCCTACAATTATTATTTTTTTTTCGTATAATTTTATTACCTCTTTAAGTATGATTGTGCACCGTAATTTCTATTAAGTTAAATGTCAATGTTATTTCTATTTTTTTTTTACATTTAATGATAGGTTTACTTTTCTTTGTGTTTTCTTTCTATAATTTTAATAAAGTCATCGACAGCCTTTCACCTCGGTGATAAAAATGTGTTTCATTTTAAATGTACCCCCATCGTTATGTGAAGTATAAACTTGAACGCCACAGTTGGCTATAAGCCTCAAACTGAGTGCTCGCTTGGGTTAGTTTTGAATTAGTTTGTCTTGTATATGATATAAAAATATTTTTTCACAATAACTAATATTCTTGGTCTTCGTTTTCCAATCACGGCGAATGGGATGCGAAAACCTTTTTGTGTTTTTAATATCTGGCAATAGATGTCTCTTTTGATTTATTTCACAACAAAAACAAAGACAAATAAATGAAAAGAACTGATAATTAAGGCAGGTGAGTAATTATTATGATCCTTGCAATAATGATGCTTCATTGTAGTTCGCAATATCTGCAGTAGATGACGCTTCTCTTATTTTTGAATTAATTTTCTATTAAAATGGCAAATGCAGCAACTTCTTAGTCCGACTGAAGAAAAAGTTAGACACTACAATAGTGTTTAAATATCGGGATTTGTAGGTATATAAGAAATTCTGATCCTATACATTATCTTTTGTTATTAGTTATGTCAAACAACAAATATAAAGCAATCGTCAGTAAAGTTAAAATAAATACAATAACATTATCATCGTAAATAATGGAGGTCACGCTGTCGGAAGTTGGAATTCGCGTTAAAACACAATAAAAATATTTACGAACCTTGTACTCATTTCTTTGAAACAGATGTTCTATAAACTGATCTCAAGGTTGGGTTAGTATTGAAAATAGCTGATTACTAATGGCATCAAAAATTCTGGAGCAGCAACATAACACCTTACCTTCAAGTTTTATATAATTATGTGCTACTTATTTTTATATATCTAAAGAATAACATGAAAAAGTATTACTAAGTACCATCTAGCGGTCAACTTCAAAACCGTTTAGTAAGCTACATTAAGTATTTTACTTACATCAAAAACCGTAAAATAATATTGATTTTCAGTCTTGGAAAGCCTAAATTGAGCACTAAGAACTTATTTTAAAGGGAAAGCGAGAAAAAAATTTAAGATTTTTAAGGTTGTATTTCACATTATCGTATAGGATTACTAAGATTGTAATGGATATCTTGATAGGTACATATAGTGTATTGTATTATAATAATAATGATACGACTCCAACAAGCAGATAGTAATAAAGTATGAAAAAAAAATATCAACTTACGAACAGCCTTGAAAATAAAAACGTTGAAATTTTGTATAATGGTTTTGGAACTAATCTGTTTCGTAATATACACACTTCTCCTTAAAGGGATAGATGTCGCGAAAAGCGCGTACCTATACATTTCATTATATTTATTTATGTAGTCGATTATTTTATTGAGATCAGCTAGCTTGCATTGAATGGCATCCAGTCAGTTAGGTTAAAAAAAAATTAAATCTAAGACATATTTTATTCCAAATATAAAGTTTACTTTGTTAAGAATGTGAGGAAAATCATACATTAGAATAAGGGTCGTAAAAATTTACTGATATTTATAATATCAATATAAACTTACAAGTGATAGTACTAATAAACAACAATTTATCTTTAATTTTATTATTTTGTATATGAGGCCCTTCAAATATTCTCCTCCTCACTTACATGTACACATTCTATCATAACTCAGACCTATGAATAAGTTAATGGTGTTTTCAGGTACATCGTAAATTGATTTAACGATTTTGTTTTTCTTCAATCCCGACAGCAACAAAATCCTTTTAAAAGTTATTTTTAAAATTTTAACCGTTAAAGCTGTTATTATAAAACATTACAAACTATTTATGCGATTATATACCATAGGGAATATCTATGTAGTTATAAAATATAAATGTCAAAAGTCGTAAATAAATGAACATATATATTCACTAACGATTTTATAACCTCAAATTGATAAATAATATTATTGTAAAAAGTCCATATTTATTACTTACCGGAATTGTGTTATGATTTAGTTTATCTTTTAAACACTTGTAATATATAATATAGATCGTCACATGATTGGGAGGTCTTTAGGTCAGTATCGCAGTAAACAATTCCTAGCAAGGTCAAGAACGAAGCTGAGATAAATGAAACTACGTTAAGTCACACATTGGTTTTTTGTTTCAATTTAATTGTTACGTAAGACCATGTAGTATAAATATGATATTATTGATCAATCAAGTATCAAGCGAGTATTTACTACGTAGAACATAAACTTTCCGTTCCTAATATTTAGTGTGTGTGATAGAGGAATTATTATTTTCCTGAAACCGACAGGAGGTGACATTATCGCATTTTATTTTAAGGTACATACTCCAAAAAAGTATTGTTTTTTACGAATGGATTTTGGAATAAGAGTTCATCGACAAGAAGCCACCCGTTGCACGTATTGTTAAGGTGTCAAGAAAAGTGTTCTTAATCTGTATTGAATAGGAAGGAAGCATATTCATTTTAATATACGTGATAATCTTTTGATACTTACAATGATACAGCAGAATCGAAAGAAGTAGCTAGAGTCTTTAATCATTTTTGCAAAACGCTAAAGTATCTATAAAAAGTATTGATTTTATTTAAAAAAAGTAACTTCCTTGTTCTGTTTATTAAAAAAAAAACATAAATTTATTTTATTTTCTCCGAGGTGTAAAAATGTTAATTTATAATTATATTAGAATAGAATCTATGTATAATTGGTAATCACTATAAATAAATATCTTATCATCTTCGTCATCCACTATTTGGCTTCTTCGAGACCTTTACTAAACAGAAGTTAAGATTACGAGCTAATCGCGAGTGCATAATTTTATCGCGTTATGTTTTTATTAGAAAAACGCTTGAGGATTAATTAAATTTTTTTCCATAATGACAAAGGTCGATGTAAAGCCTCTTAGATTTTCCGTTTTGTCTGTACATATCGTAATGCTCTTCATACTGTTATATCAGGAGTAGATTCATAAGCGAAAAAGTCCAATAATGAACATAAACTTTTTGTAAAAGCAAAGAGTTCACCGTTACACAAGTGTGGAAAGGAAAATACGTTACCAGAACAAATTTCTAGAGAATTTTCCAGGCCAACTATGTACTTATTATACAGGGTGACTGGTGAATTACTATCGATACTTGAGGACGTGATATTTGACGATCATATATGACAAAATAAAATTGAATATAACATAAATATTAATAAACTTCTAAGTAAAGTTAACCAAAAGTTATGTAATTAATTACGCATCGTGTGAACACCCTACAGATTAGGTATACACACACACACACACACACACACACACACACACACACACACGCGTGCGGCGGCGTGGTATTGTATCAGCACGCCGCCGCACGCGTCCACACTTGGAACACTTGGAACGTGTCCACACTTTATTTATTTATGCGGAAATTTGGCCAAAAATTAAGTACCAATTTTTAAACATAATTCGAATGAGAATCATGTACCGAGTATTCTCCTTAAATATTGATAGTAATTCACCAGTCACCCTGTATAAACAGTAAGAAATGTCTATAAAATATACTAAGAAATAACATACTTAGGTCTGGAATAAATAAAGAAAATTGCTTCTTATACCTAATAATAGTTTCTATCTTATACATATCTAATTAGTTGGAGCTCAATAATGTTAATACATTATTTTATAGCTTTTACATAAAAAAATTGCTTTTGAAATTTAGTTGTTTTAAAAACTGAATTTTTTTGTACAATTAACTACGAAGTGCCAATATACTTACTGTATGTTTGCATCGTCAAGCTACATACGAAACTTTTCCTGTTTCATACAATAACCTACGTTAATACTGATCGGAAATGTATGAATGACAAGCTGTAAATACTCCGTATGTAGAATAAGTACATTTGTCATTCGTCAGAAATGTGAAACATCCCCCAACTGAGTAGAAAAATGTAATAATTGATGGTAGCAACAAATTATTTTAAAAGAAATTATAATTAAATATTTTAAATTTATATGATAAAAACAAACGAATATATTCATTATACTAATATTGACAAAATTTTATTTGGCCACTTCTAATGAGAGTGAGAAACAGCTTATTGTTCTTGTTATTTGTACTCTGCATACATTTTTTTAATACCGTATACAGTATATTTTAATAAAAAATAAATAATAATTGTTTATTCTTTATAAATAAGTGGATTAAAAAAGATAAAAATCAAAACAGAAGACAAAATAATAATTAACGGAATACCTTAAAATAATAACTCGGGTTTATTTCCAATGCTTTACTTAAAATGCAAAGGTCTTATATATCATTTTCGATTATTCTATAGATATTATGTACTCCATTATGCTATAGATAGTACATTAGGATACTTTTCTATATAGGTATGTATAGCTTCGAGAAATGAAGCATCCAGTCTTGGAAAGTCATCATAAAACTAGATGTTCACAATTATTATTATTTATCTACAATGCACTATATAAAAGCGTGAACGGGCCAACTCGGTCAGACGGCGAACATTCTCAGGCTAATTCACTCGCATCAAACAAATATTAAAATGATGTTAAAATCCGGGATTGTTTGTGTGTTACTGGTGCTTGTTTCATTCGTTCTTGCCAACCCCATTAAAGTGACCCCTCCACCAGAGGAACGTGAGTAATCAATATTGTTCCTTAAATACATTAAAAAAATAAAGGATAAAAAACGTTCAATAGATATAAATATAATGATACGTGAAATAAAAAGGAAGACACTGCCATCGATTTACAATTTCATATATTCAATATTAATGAAAGCTGACAAAACCATTATTTCAAATATATGTGTAAGACAATTAAATTATTCTCTTTGGTACATGATAGTATTTCAAAAGATTAAAATAAAAGATTTATAATATTTATTTAAAATACGAGCTTAATGTACAGGTGAACTGAAAGAGGATTAAAATACATATAACAGGAATCGACACATTGAAAGCAAAGTGAATTAATTTGAATTTCAGAGTAGTACATATTACAAATTTCAGGAATAATATAGATAGATAGATAGAATATACTTTATTGTACACCACAAACAGTAAATTTTACACGGAAAAATAGACATATTATTTATATACTTTGAAAAATTTTACGTCGAACTATTTTACATATTCTTAAACTACACTAAAGCTATATTCAATTCATTGCGTAATCATCTAATTAGGTACAGTGAAGTTTAACACACATCATATTGTTGTGGCATGTCATAAATGGTGGTAGTGTTCTTCGATATGCTTCTTACAATTCAAAAGCTACAATGGATTATTATTAACGTGTGATATTTCTTATCTCGGTTGCCCTAATTTTAACATAATTCAGTCATTACCTTTTATAATAACAGTAAAACCATACATTATAAAATCATCTTTGTTAAGTATCTTGTGGTTACATGCGATATATTGCTCGTGGATTTTAATATTTCATATTCATTTTATATTAATGAATTCTGCCTCATATGATAATATATATTAATGGAAGCAATTTACCTTCAAAGTCTTTTCAATTAATGTCCTCGAAATTGAAATAATTATCACTGTATAAATTTCAGATATTTCAGAATATTTACGTAAATACACAGAATTGAGTCACAATATTGATGTTCACTATATTGCAATGCTCATTTACTATGATTTTGATTAAAACATACAAAAAGAGAAAAAGAAAACATTTATGAGGCTTGTAAGTTTAGGTATGAGTTATATTTGAAGAATGACGTATTTGTTTCGCTTTAATGCCGTTGCTTCATATTTTGATACCTTTACACAGGAATCTGTCATTACCATGTACCGTAAAAAAAAAGGATTGCGTTCATGTTGTAGAAATGGTAAACAATGTGAATTTATTACATCACAATTTTTATATAAATTGATGTCTTAGTTTTTCATTTTTCATATTTTCAATACATTTTATTTCTTGAGAAGCGAAAATGTTGTGATAATTAACATTTTTTTTATTTCAATGATTGTATGATTTATTAAGATGCTTTGTAAATTCTTAAATATATTAAATAATTTTAAACAACATGTACAAAATTTAACAATTAAAATTAATATATATTTTTTTTTGTTTAAACGATCATAAATAAGCCACTAAATTTAATGTTATGTGGGGTATATTATATTACCGGGAAGTCTTTGAATTGGAATCACAAATATTCAAATATAGCTATATTTTATCCTTTATATTGCAAAGCAAAATCCGTTTGCAATGAATTTAATTTATCAACCTGTAATTAAACTTGCGTTTATTCATTGATTCAATGAATCAATTACTAAATAGAATTCCAATATTCTATTGATATGTTACGCTTTTGTAAAAAGAATACTAAGCTGTAATTAATTTGGCAGTGAGATAATTATTTTGAAATTTACTTATTTGAAATAATTAATTTATAAAAGGTTAAAATTAATGTTGACCCTATATTTAACATAGCTTCCAAAATTTTAGGTTCTGATAACTATCTTTATAAATTTTCTCACTTACTCACCAATTAAGGGGAACCGATAGTATTTCTTTTAATCTAGCAATTATATTTGTAGTGGTTAGTATTTTTAATCTGGAGGAGCCGTGCGTGCATCAAGGTGGACTTTGCTTGCTTGTGGATGACTGCGAGTCTAGCAACTTAGTCCACTTACCTCCTAGGCTGTTATGTCCAAAGCAAGCACACCTTGGAGTAGTTTGTTGCTACGTAAGTTAATTTTTTTTTTCATTTTAATAATAATTTCAATTATAGCTATACTTTAAAGATTTTTGTCTCGTTGGTATAAACATAAAATGCGAGTTACATTTCTATCATACTAAAAAGATTATACTGAAGCATTTTTCGAGATGAAATAAGTTGATATTAATTTTTGTTTCAAATATGCTCGTTACACATATATTTTTAAGTATTCTAATGTTTTATTCAGTTATTCAGTAGTATTACTTTGGACATAGAGGACTGTGACAATTATTATACATATGTTGTAAATTTTAGTTTTGGTTGAAATAGATTTATGTGCTATGTACAACTTATCTAACTTTTAATCTTTTTGTTTTCAGCGTTAATGGACACACTTCACACATTTTTTTAACTTAGGGTGTATTATTTAAGAAAAACTAACTTAATTTAAATAGAAGTACCTAATAATGACTAAGTTTTTCTATTATAGATATTTATAAGATTTTATGCCTAAGTATTATTGTATCTTATAGACTGCAAGTTATTATGTACGTTCAAAAGATTTTAATAAAAATTTAGTACTTAATGTCCTTATATAAAATTTCCACAAATAATATAATGTTCAAAAAAACTATCTTTTATACAGGAAAAATGTTGTATTGTTTTCTTTGCTAATGATATGTAATATTTACTCGAATAAATAAAACATCTTTTTAATTGTTTTCTTTTAATTGACATAACTCCGACCGTTATTCTCACAAAATAATTCATATATTAAGTCATTGGAATATTATTTATAAATAAAGAGGAGCCACTCTCCTACGGGAGGATCTGGTTCATATGAATACCTGGAGAAGAACAAAAGTATTATAAAAATAATAAATATTATAACTAAAACTTTGTGTTTGAAGTTATTATTGTTATTGGATTTGTAATCAAGGGTTTGTGAATCGTCGTTTATCAAATCCGTAAAGCTACATCCTCTTAACCAATTGCTAAATTGAACCAAAATTGTTTTACAAGGTCAATTCAATGATGAAAATACAGTGTAGATTAATATATAAAAGTGCTTTTGTATTTTGTGTTTTTTTTTATATCAAATATATGTCGGATCGCCGAGTCTACTAGGGTCTTGTAATTCACTCTTATTTGCTATCTAACCACTAACACTTCACAAAACACTACACAAAACACTTCACAACACTTTAAAGTCACTACACTTCACTTTACTTTACTTCTTGCTTTTTGATTAACACATGAAATCGAGCCACGTGGATTTCCGAGGGTGCGTCCAACACTACATCCAAATGAGCACCGCCCTTGCAGTGTGACTGCTGCAGTTTATATGCTTGCCCACTACTATGAAGTTGGCGCCTCTCGCAACCCCACTCGACAATCTAACTGACGTTAGCGTCGGCTCTTTATAATAAATTGAGTTACTTTTTTAAATTACATTCACAATATTAATCAACTAAATACAATCAAACAAATTAAAAGAAATAAGGAATACACTTAAAAACTTAAAATAATCTTAATCAAACAAACAAACAGCTATCACAAAATTACATAGTTCAAACGACATATCGTCAATGTATTGTCAAATGAATTGAGTATCTTCTCTTCAAATTCTTAACCTTTATCAACCAAATATAATCACTCGAAAACATTTAAATACAAACATGAAAGAAATGAAACCAAAATATCAACTAGTTTTCCCAAAATAAGGCACTTTACACAACGTATTGTGCATACTCCGTCATATATATGAATATGTTGCTTATAAAATATTAAATGGAATATTCACTTCTGTTAAAATCATACCATATTGAATTTCGTAAAGCTTTTAATTTCTTTAATATTTATTGTCTATTCTATTTAAGCCTTTAATTTATCAGATCTCAGATTCGCTGGAAAGAAACCCGTAAAACAATGTATGACTTTCAATCACTCTAATTAAATTTCTATAAATAAAATGTACTTTAAAACTATAAAACTAAGAAAATAAGATCTTTAGTGATCGTCGTATTAAACTCAAGAATAAATGCGATTCCCTTTTAACGTAAACATGATAAATAATTTTTTATTGCGTCCTTGGGTGATAGTGATACTCGACTTATGTCAAATGTCAGCCTTATTTGGTAAATATTTATTTATTTATAAACAAATATTGATATAACAATAAAGTTGCATTTCCACTAGGCTCTGTAACAATTATGTAATTGAATTGGTTGTAAGCAAATTGTACTCTAATACTGATATTTTTTATTCATTCAGAACGGTCTAATTTTTTTATACACTGATTTTTAATTACCTGTCATATAATACTTAGTTTTTGTTTATTGTACTGAATTTTATTCTCACATGTTACGTTTATTATAGACACAGATTTATAAGCATAAGCACAACAATACTGTCCCGAAGTCTGCCGAACTGAAGCGACCTTAGACGATAGATGTCAGGTTTATTTTCGTGACAGAATTTCTTGATTTGGTCGCCTTGTTCAAAGTTCGCTTTAAAAGCAATACAGTGCTTAAAAAATCTTTCCGTTTAGTCCTCTATATTTTTTCTTTTTCTTCTTCTACCTAGCAATTTTCCCAGCTTTAGCCAGGGTCTGCCTTAAATATGTGAATAGTTTTGGCTAATTGTTTTTACGACCGGCCGCCTGCCTGACATCAACCCTCTTTTGGGAATGCATTACTCAGTGATGTCTAAACACAATTAGATATTTCTATATTTTTTATACCTATAAAAGTCCTCTATATTTTTTATACCTATATAAATGATTTCTCATCAGTTCTAATGTACCTACTTTAAAGGTAACCCTCTCTATTAGTTAATGACAACATATATTATAAACAATATATAAACAATAACAACAGTAACAAGGAGAATTACAATTATTTTAACTCGATTAGAATGAAATAATATTAATATATTTTAAATACAGTATTTGCAAAGAAAAAAATATACCTATTATATTAAAAATTGATTTTTTTTATTATAACGCAATATGCTTCCAAAAACATAAAATACACAATAAATAATTTTTAAATTAATATGTAATCTTGTGGATTAATTCATAGTACTTGATTAGAGTAAACATATTATTACATTGCTGCGACCCATTAAGATTTCAACATGGAATTCCACTTGACCAAGGAATTCCGCTTTGAAGCTTTGCTTATGAAGGACTCAGGTCCTGTAATCAATTACAAGATGTCTCACTGTTTGGATGAGCTTCTCTGACCTAACAATAAGGATCAGTTATATTTGAGACCAAAATGTTATCTTTGCTGACATCTGAAAGAACAAATCACAACAACCAGTACACATACTTTAGGAATTAGTATGAATATTTGCCGTAGGTATATTTTATATGTTCAATTCCTAATATTTTAAAAAAAATTTTTGTCAGATAGAAAAAATCAATCACTAAGGAATTGTCCAAGTAAATACATATGTATATATTCATAGTCATCTATTGTATCAATCGATAGCTAGATCGATAATGATACTATGTCGCATAAATATAATTTGGCATGTAGTACTTTCAGGTTTTAGTAATTTAAAAAAAATATATTGTTAAGGTAGTGTTTTTATTATTTATTTGTACACCTTTCAAATTATCGTCATTCAATACTAATCTCTTCGTTGACCGCTACGAAATAGATTTTATTGTGTGTTTTAATAGATATCGTAATGTGATGAATTTAAAAATTCAAGGTGTTTATCACGATACAATATTGATAATGAATGTTTTGATAATATTAATAGAAATATAAATTATTACAAATTATCCTCGAATCCCTGATAAGTCAATTAGATCCAAGTCTATTTCAGAAATGGATTCAGTGGTATTATCAGATCCTTTACAGAGAAAAAGCATTGGAGGATAAAAAACATTTAATTATCTGAAAGCTTTTATACGTTTAATAATATTAATTGTATATCGAGGAATCGAATGTCCGATTAATTTTATTTCTCCGTAATAACACTAATTCACCCTTGGATACTACCTACTTTATGTTTTCTATTTTTTTGTTTTTCTAAAAAGTTTTTTTTTGAGTTTAATTGCTATAAAATTTTTCTTCTAACTATACAACCTGAAACAAATTATGTGACTGTATCTGAAACTATTAAAATAAAAAGATTATCGTTACTAATTTTAAACACGATGCAAAAATATCAAATAGCAAGTTGAAAGTAAAGAAAATTGATTAACCGGTTAGTAATGATTTAAATTGTTTCAAAACTTTCATTTTTGTTAAATAAGCAACAAATCTAGCAATTATAGGAAACCCCAAAAAGAACTCAAGAAAATTGCACATTAGAGTAATAGTTATGCAGTCATCTGAATTACTTTAAATAACAATTTTTATGAAACTCGTTTTCCAAAATCCTCAATAATTTCATGACCCAAAACTTTACGATGGAATTTAAAATAAGAACATTTTTGGTTAAACTTAAAATTGACTTGAGTTAAGTTGAAAGTAAGTAATACTTAATTCAATAGCTAGTTGAATACCCTCTCTTTATATTATAATCGTCAGGGCCACCTCACGTCAGGTCATCATGATAAATATAATATATATATCAACTTAATAATATAATCTATATCTTACCCTAATCGTGTTTTTATGATGTTAAGATTGCATTCTTAGATGCCACGGCATCTTTAGATATATATCTTTTCTGCTACTCAATTAAACTGGTCTGTTTGTAGGAGCTCATTTAATTTTCTCGGTAACATACTGTAAACGGATTTATCAGTAGTCGTATTTATCTACAATTCTATGAAATCATTACAGTCTAATTCACTAGTGCATTCAGGGAAATAATTTCTATACTTACTCAAAGTCACAGTAATAAATTCTTTTACAAAGAAAACAGGATAATTAATATATTTTTCTCTTCAATACATTAGCTGTTAATATTGTCGGAATAAGGTACTTTAGAGATTTACGGTGTATCGATTCGTAGAAATATTTATGCACGAGCCACTAGATTATCCGCTTTACTTTGTACAGATATTAACAGGAATACTCAGGATGAATAATGAAAATAATAAAATTATAAGATATTAAAACAGTTCATGGTACGAAGATCGATTTAATACATATATAAAGAAAACAATATTACTGACCGTGTTATATTTCATTTACTTTAATGAATCTTTATAAATTATTTAGGGCTAAAATTATTTCTGTGGATTAAAAAAAATGTGTTTTGATCTTTCTATGATATATTGTGTAATTATGTTTTTAACTCGGCGTTTCTTAGTAACGGAACAAAGTAAGGTGTTATTATTACACTTTTATGTTTTTTGATTGATTAATATAATATATTGTACATTAGAATTTATTATTTCAACATTAGTAATTAATAT